AACTCACCATGAAGAGTGGCCCAAGATGCCATATGTTTTGCCTGGTGGCCGTAAATCAGCCCCAGGTCCCCCCCACCCCCCAGCAAAACTCCGTTGATGTGGGGAGAGGGGGTTGGGTTCACTCTGGATCTTTGTGGGGGCTTGGGGGTATGGGGGCTTGTTGGGTCTTCTGAGAGGAATCTAGGGGAGGTGGGAGGGGTCTTCTGGATCTCAGTGGTGAGGATTCCAGAGGAACTTCCAAGGGGAGACCTTGGATCACCCCGTTGTTCTCGCGCTTCAGGGCAAGTTTGAGTTGAGGGCTCCTGGGCCAAGATTTTCGCAAGTGCCTATTGATTTTTGGGTGCCCAACTGAAGATGCCTTCAGGGTGCCTGGTTTTCAGGGGGTGGGCACGGGGCACTGTCCGAACACCGGGTCCCCTTTGGCGCAGCTCAGGATGGACGCCCAGCATCGTTAGTTGCTTTAAAAAATCCTGGCCTAATTCATTCCCCTTCCCAGAGGTCCCTTCTCCAAATGGACCCACGTGTCGTCGTCACTGGAGTCTGATGCCCTTAGGGAACTGCAGGATATGTTCCCCCACTGGAGAGAGCAGCTGGGGGCTCCCTGACCCCATCAGACTCCCTGACCCGCTCACTTCTAGGCCCCTGTGGGGAGACGGGCAGCAAGGGCGGGAGGCCTTGTTTAGTGTCCGCTGTCCTGGTGAATCCCTGCCTGCTGGGACCCAGGATTAGCCCCACAAACCAGGCGTCGGACGGTAGAAATTCTCAGCTAGTCTGCACCTGGGCCAGACATGGCCTAGAGGTCAAAGGCATCCCAGCCCCCTTCCCTGGATCTGGCTAGTCTCCCCCCCAGCGCCTGGTGATCTTGTATTCCACATGGCAGTTCCGTGGTGCTCAGGGGACGAGGTGTGTGTCGGGTCTGTGCCCACCCCACTGGGAAGGCGCCCAGCTCCTGGGAATCTCTCACTCTTCTGCAAGAGAACAGCTCTCTCCTCTTACAGCACCTATCGCAAGAGGGGGACACTTCTCCCTTCACTTTAAATAAGCATCTTGTGGCCCAGTGGCTAGAGGATAGCCAGGACTTCAGGGTTCCCTTCCTGGCTCTGCTGCCCCTGACTAGCTGGACCCTTGGGAGAGCTACTAAGGGTCACGGTCAATGACTCTGCTTATGTGAGGAAGAGCTGTGAAATTAGGCCTGTTGCTGCTCTGTGACTCAGTTTCCCCTTCTGTAAAATGGAGTTAATCCCTGGGCGGGGGCAGCTGGGAGGCTTAATTCATTAATGCAGAGAAAGGGCCTCAAGATGCTGAGATAAAGGGTGCTAACCTCTTATAAGAACATAAGAACGGCCATACTGGGTCAGACCAAAGGTCCATCCAGCCCAGTATCCTGCCTACCAACAGTGGCCAATGCCAGGTGCCCCAGAGGGAGTGAACCTAACAGGTAATGATCAAGTGGTCTCTCTCCTGCCATCCATCTCCACCCTCTGACAAACAGAGGCTAGGGACACCATTCCTTACCCATCCTGGCTAATAGCCATTAATGGACTTAACCTCCATGAATTTATCCAGTTCTCTTTTAAACCCTGTTACAGTCCTAGCCTTCACAACCTCCTCAGGCAAGGAGTTCCACAGGTTGACTGGGCGCTGAGTGAAGAAGAACTTCCTTTTATTTGTTTTAAACCTGCTGTCCATTAATTTCATTTGGTGGCCCCTAGTTCTTCTATTATGGGAACAAGTCAATAACTTTTCCTTATTTACTTTCTCCACACCACTCATGATTTTATAGACCTCTATCATATCCCCCCCCCTTAGTCTCCTCTTTTCCAAGCTGAAAGACCTAGCCTCTTTAATCTCTCCTCATATGGGACCCGTTCCAAACCCCTAATCATTTTAGCTTCCCTTCTCTGAACCTTTTCGAATGGCAGTATATCTTTTTTGAAATGAGGGGACCACATCTGTACGCAGTATTCAAGATGTGGGTGTACCATGGATTTATATAAGGGCAATAAGATATTCTCCGTCTTATTCTCTAGCCCTTTTTAAATGATTCCTAACATCCCGTTTGCTTTTTTGACTGCCGCTGCACACTGCGTGGACATCTCCAGAGAACTATCCACAATGACTCCAAGATCTTTCTCCTGATTAGTTGTAGCTAAATTAGCCCCCATCATATTGTATGTATAGTTGGCGTTATTTTTTCCAATGTGCATTACTTTACATTTATCCACATTAAATTTCATTTGCCATTTTGTTGCCCAATCACTTAGTTTGGTGAGATCTTTTTGAAGTTCTTCACAGTCTGCTTTGGTCTTAACTATCTTGAGCAGTTTAGTATCATCTGCAAACTTTGCCACCTCACTGTTTACCCCTTTCTCTAAAATATTTATGAATAAGTTGAATTGGATTGGTCCTAGGACTGATCCTTGGGGAACACCACTAGTTACCCCTCTCCATTCTGAAAATTTACCGTTTATTCCTACCCTTGGTTCCCTGTCTTTTAACTAGTTCTCGATCCATGAAAGGATCTTCCCTCTTATCTCAAGACAACTTAATTTACGTAAGAGCCTTTGGTGAGGGACCTTGTCAAAGGCTTTCTGGAAGTCTAAGTACACTATGTCCACTGGATCCCCCTTGTCCACATGTTTGTTGACCCCCCTCAGAGAACTCGAATCGATTAGTAAGACATGATCTCCCTTTACAGAAACCATGTTGACTTTTGTGCAACAATTTATGTTCTTCTATGTGTCTGGCAATTTTATTCTTTACTATTGTTTCAACTAATTTGCCCGGTACTGACGCTAGACTCACCGGTCTGTAATTGCCAGGATCACCTCTAGAGCCCTTCTTAAATATTGGCGTTACATTAGCTATCTGTTTAAAGGACAGGTTACAAAAGGCAAAGTATAATTATTCAGGAGCCTCTTTGGTTTAGGGCCAGATTCGGCGCGGGGTGACACCCTCTTAGGCCCAAGAGAGCTGCCCAGGGCAGAGTGTAACCCTTGGTGCTGTGGATTCACAGCGGCGTGGCCAAGCTGCTGAGGCTGCATGGCAGGACTGGGGAGGGAGGGCAGCAGACAGGCCAGGGCCACAGAGACTTCGCCTCCAGCTCTGAGATCAGAATCGACGGGCAGCTCAGTCGGAGCATGGCGAAACCCGGCGGGTAAATGCGACATGGCAGGGCCGGCACCCAGCCTCCCAGCGTGCTAAAAATAGCTCCGCAGAGAGGCTGCCTCTCGCCTGCATGTGTTTAAAATATTCAGCGGTTGAGCATTTTCAATTGGCCATCGGTGGGGAAAGGGGGAGGGGAGAGGAAAGATGGTGATACATGCTGCCTTTCTGAGGCCCAAACCTGCCTCTGTGACGGTTCTGAAGAGACGCTGGAGCCCACAGCACCACGGATGTGTGGATGCAAGGCCCTTGTACTTAGCCTTGTACACTGGATGTAGGCTAGGGAAGGTAACCAGTTAATTAATGCATGTACTCTTACTGCTACTGTGTATCTAAGGAGAGGGGGTTGGGTGGGGAAATCCACACCCTGGCAAGGAAGCATCCGGGATCTGTCACTTGCAATGTGATCTCGTGCCCCATGAAGGGCCTGGAAAGCTCCTGTCAAGGGCGTTGGGTCGGCCTCTTAGGAGGGACTTTCCAGCCGGGCTCAGCAGGGTCCGTTCTGATCTCGTCAGCCAACAGTTCCCATTAAGAATGACACAGGAGCCATGAGCCCTTTTGAAAGCCGGGAGGAGCAGGTCTGAACCTCTGGCCTCTGGTGACTTGGGCTAACGTGACCCACGTGTTTCCCTTCCACAGAATCATACAGTCACTCGCGGGCTGGCTGGGAAATGACTCTCCTTGTGTTCTTCACACAAAATATAAATGAAAACTATTCCTCCCCCCCATTTTTGTCAATGTTTTTCTTCAATCTTTTTGTTCAGGTTTTTGTCAAAAAACGGAAGTTGGGGGGGAATCATTTTTTGGACACAAAGTCTGTCATTTTTGACAAAACCTGACATTTTTTGTGAAAATTTCTATTGTCCAAAAAAAAAAAAAAGCCTTTTTGTCCAAACCAGTGATAATAAAATTCGGTAAAAATCATTTGTGGCCAGCTCAAGTTGAGATTCTCTTTGTGATCTGAGGGGTCCCGCACAGCCCCCAGGGTCCATGGCCTCATAGCTTTGCCATCTGTTGTATGAAAAATTCCCTAATGAGGGGGCAGGGGTGGGGGGTGGGCATTACCCCTCCATTAAATCAAATTGAATCGGGTCCTTGGAGTAGGATTTTTTCTCTGCTCTCATCATGGGCAGGAACTTCTGACGTGAGGGCTTCGTCCTTCCACTTGCTTCCGAGCTGGAGAACAAACGTAGATGATCTTTAAAATCCACCATGTACTTGATAGCAGGGGGAAAAGTCATTTATGATTAAAAAAAATAAATAAAAAGGCCTGACTTAAAAAGATGGACAGGGTAAAAGCCCTGGCCAAAGCCATGTCCCTGGGCTGGAGACAATGAAAAACAGGGATGTGTTTAACTGTAGGCCATTTAAAAGTAACCATTAAAGAGGCAACAGTAACTAAGCAGCCTTTCCAGTCAGGTATGTCCTTGCAGCTGTGAAGCCCCTGTCCATTGCCCCCCAGCTGGAGGAGAACGGCCCAGGGAGCTCTTGAGCTGCTAATTTTGATAGATGTCAGGCCGAAGGCTGCAAACCAGCAGCTGGAGGTGGAGGAGGCGATATGGCATTGCTCAAGGGTCCTTCACTCTCCCCTCACAGTCGTGTAGTCAGGGCTGCCCATGGGTTCACAAGCACACACATTTCTTGCTGCTTGCTGACGTATCCAAGCCAGCTCAAGTGTGCATTCACACCACAGCACACTAAGATCCACACTCATTCCCATGCACACTGCCACATGCAGACAAAGGTTCACAGGCATGTAAACACACGGGTATTTGCACAAGGGTTTTGTGCTGAGTGGAAAATAGAGGAGGTGAATTTGGTCTTTTTGTGTTTAGCAGCTCGCCAGTCTGGCTCAGGCCGGCGTTCAGGGGCCGACGGCACCTGGGTACAATGCGATGGGCAACACAAGCCTCAGACTTTGCAGAGTGATGCTCTCTGGCCCGGGTTGTGCAGGAAGTCAGGTGAGATGGTCAGGGTGGTCCTTAAAAATCTTTGTCTCTCTGAATAAGGCCAGATCGGGGCCCCAGGTTTGGACAGACCTAGCCTGAGCTTAGCTGTGGCCTGTCTCTGGTTGCAGCGCCACCGACATCCTCATGGCAAAGAGCCGAGAGGCAATATTCAAGCTGGGCTCCCCCTCAGGACTGGAATAATAAAATTACAGAAATGTCGGGCTGGAAGGGACCTTTAGAGGTCATCACGTCCAGCCCCCCGCGCTGAGACAGGACCAACTGAACCTAGACCAGCCCTGGCAGGGGTTTGTCCAACCTGCTCTTAAAAACCTCCAGTGATGGGATTCTGCCACCTCCCTGGGGACCCTGGTCCAGTGCTTCACTGCCCTTAGAATTACCCTACTCTGGATGGAGCAGGGCCGGGGAGGGCAGATGGGGCTGGGGGATTTGCGCAGTGTTCTGGTGGGAAACCATGAATACAAGCAACTGCTCCCCCTGCTCCACTTCCCTCTGCCCCACTCAAAGCTGCTGCATGCCTCATCTTACTCAGACCCACGCTCCCCTGGACGGCATGAAGCCGTCTCTTTGCAGTCCCAGTGTACTGTGTGTCTGTACACTCCCCTGTGTACAATTTTCCAATTCAGTCTGCAGCAGGGCTAGCCCTCAGCCTCTGACGCTAAGCAGAGAGCTGACTTTAAAGATCAAGGAAACAAGCCTGATCCAGGAGAGGGTGCTGGGGAGAAGAGGCAAGCAGGTTAGGGCGGGTGGTTACTGAGGAAAGCAATGGTATCAGATTAGAGCTGGGGTTGGGGAGCCAGGACTCCTGGGTTCTATTCCCAGATCTGCTGCACTGCAACACCTAGGGCAGGTCACTGTGTGTCAGTTTCCCCAAGGGAGATAACGACACTGACCTGCTGGAGCCTGGGGCAAGGAGGGATAAGCGCATGTGTGTTAACGCTTAATGGTTCAACTGGTGCTTATAAAGGGCCCGGAGAAGCCCATGTAAGCAATGCTGGTCAAGAGCAGAGGGTTATTGTCACTTCTAACATATTGCAATGACCAGCAGTCCTTGTATCACTTGTACACTCCTGGTAGAACATCCCTGCTGGGCTCAGGACTGTTACGGGAGTGTTGGTGCAAGGACTGGGGAGCTGGGACAGCTGGGGCGTGGACCAGAGGCGCCTGATGCATCACAGTCGCTGCATCACGCCCTCTGGTGCAATCAGTGACCTGGGGTGGTACCATGAGTCTGCCTCCCCCAGCTCTGCATGCCTGAGCCATGAAACACTCGCACAGCATGGGATGGGCAGACAAGAGGGGGGTGGGACCCCAAACCAACCATGGCCTGGAGGCAGCGAGGGGTGGTCGCTTGGTGAGCCCCAGGGGCAGCACGAACAGCCTGGAGAGGAGGCGGCAAGAGGGGAGGGGTCTCAGCGAACAACAGGGACGATTATTTGAAAGGCTGACAGCGAAACGTGGTGGGCTGGAGCCTTTTTTGTGGAGAAATGATTATTTACAGTTGAGTATCTTCATGTTTCTATGGAAACTCCATGGCTTTGCTGGGTGGGAAAGCCAAAACCAGCTGGGGAAAAGGCAATATTAGAGAGAGAGAGAGAGAGAGAGATGTGGGTATGTGTGAGAGAGCCTAGAAATCTGGAGCCTGGTAAAAATTTTCTCCCCTCATCAATGGCATGAGTAAATTTGGTGGTGTGTAAGTATGTAGTTTTGTAGCCTGAGGCCTTGACTGTTATTCCTATCGGCAAAGGGTGGGTTACTAGGCTTTGTGTCTGGGAACCTTGCCTTACAAATTTTTCAAGGTACGTGTGTGTGTGCACGCGTGTGCGTTTACACACATATGACTGTCTTTCTTTTAAAAATAAAAATAGCCACGTACACACACATGGCTTCATCCAACGGCCTTTCAAGTCTTTGGAGAGACTCCCATTATCTTCAAGGAGCTTTGGGTCAGGCCCGGAGAGAACAGATAAGTGTGTTAAATTACATCCAAAAATCAATGTCCAAAGAACATGAAGGTTGCAAAGCCAAGCACTCAAATGGTGGGAAAGGCCAGCACTGAGGTTACCTGGGCCTGTGCCCCCCGGTGCGTATGCATTTCGATACAAGCTCCAAGACGTGTTTGCATATGATTTTTCCCTGCCTCATTCCATGCGCTGGGAGCGGATCAGGGCCGTGCAGCGAAGGAGGCTGTCTGTAGGACCCCTGCCTCATTTTGCTGGAGACATTGGAAGGCGTGCAGTGAAGGAGGCAGAGAAGTCTCCAGGGCAGCAGCGGCAGCCTGAGACCGAGCAGGCTCCATTGCGCTATGGGGACGGCACGTGCAGTCTGGTCACAGGTCGGAGCTGTGAATGCTCAGGGCGGCTGGAATCTTTGGCGAACTAAGGGGCCAAACTCTAACAAGTCTCTACTGAGCATCTGTGAACTGGGATATTTTCAGAGGCTTTATAACTTGGCCAAATGAAGACAGAGTTTCACGGAGATGGCAAAAACCACATCCTGACACCAGGACAAGCCTCCTGCCAAATTTCAAGCCCCTGCTCCAAAGGGTGGAAGTGCTGGAGCTTCTCAGTGAATCAATTGTAAGTATTCCTTTAACATGGGCAAACGGCAAACGCACTTTTTCCTGATCTCATCCTCGGAAACAACCAACCATTTTTTTGTGAAACTTTCCCCTCCAAATTCAGATGCCCAGCTTGAAAAAATGTCATTCCAAATAGCTAAAGTTTGGCAAAGCTATAAGCAAATGAAAAGAGGGTCTCAGAATGGAAAGTGTTGGGCCACAGGTGAAACGATAAGTGTGCCCCAGCTCTGCTTCTCGCTGTCTGTGTGGGCGCATGTACATGCGTCTATGTCTATGCCCTTTAAAAGGGAGGTGTGACTAGAGGGCGTGTCCACGCCCGTGCACGCATGCATACGGCTAGATCCAAAGCCTTGAAAGTCAGTGGAAAGACGTCTGTTGACTTCAGCTCATTTTGGATCAGCCCCAGAGAGAACAGAGGAGCGTGTGTGTATTCATATCTTTACATGTATAAATTACAAATACACAGGCATTTATTAAAGAGATAGAGGAAACGAAGAGCCCAATTTCTCCCCCTCCCCAATTTGTTCTCCCTTTTTGGTTTATCTATTTATTTTTCCTCCAGGAAATACAGAATAGCTCCCCCTCAGATTGCAGTCAGGGCGTGGGGTTTGGAATCCATCCCTCACTAGAAAGCATGAGGGGCAGCAAGGAAAAGCCGGACCACGTGGGGTAGGGAGGAGGTAATGTGTCTGGGGTGGGGGTTAGGGGGGGCTGCAAAGTGCACTGTGCTGAGTGTGTGAGTGAGGGGGCGGTTTGTTGATCCACAGTGCTGGGATTGGATGTGAGGGAGCTGGAGCCAGAGGGAGTTGTGTGTCACGCCTGGATCCCGGTAGGAGGCCGTGATGGCTGTGGGTGGTTCGGGGAGCGTGCATGTTCTCTGGCAGAAAGTGCTGATGCAGAAAGAGCTTCCCGGTGGCAAAAGCCTGCTCCCCCTAATAGCCAGCGACAGCCTCTTGCTAGCAGCTACGGGCCCTGCATTAGCCGCAGACCGGGGGATTAAAGGGGTGCAGTATCCCTCTTTTGTCAGACAGAACAAGACCCTAGCAGTGGGGAAAGCAAGGAGCATGTCCTCTCCCAGCTCAGCCTCCGAGTCCAGCCGCTGCAGAGACCCTGGCTTTGTGGAGCCCCAGATGGGAAGGATCCGGGCAGAGTGCTGGTGAAGTGTGTGCAGTGGGGCTGGAACACTGTTATCGTGGGGGTGCGAAGGGAGGAAAGCATGTATTTGGGTCATGATTACTACCTCCAGCCAGGGGGTGCGGCAGCCCTCGCAGTACCCCTTGTTCCAGCCCCTCGGAGTGTGTGTTCCTGGTTGGGCCGCTGGGGATCCCTCCTGGCGCTTTAACCTCCTCTCTGTCAGGGGGAGCTGACTTCATTTGATTATGGCAAAATGACCATCATCTGCTCACCTGCCTCCAGCCCTGTCTCGGTCCCTCCCCACTGAGCGGGGTGGGGGGGGGAGAGCCTTCTCCTCTGCAGCTCCTGCCACCAGGATTGGCCTCTCCACCTCACTGCACCTCTGTAGAGATGGACACAAATAGCAGGGCCAGCGTCAGCTGGTGCAGAAGCTCTGTTGGCTTCTGTTGAGCTAGGCTGATCTGCACTGGCCGGGGGACAAAACCTAAACCCAGGTTAAAACTTTGTCCGTTCTGGCTGGACTCCCCCCTTGCAGAGACCAGCACTAGGGCTTGGCTCCCATTCAGCGCTTAAACAAGTACTCCAGGGGGACTGAAGGGACACCAAGGTCTCAGACTAACCCTGCATGTCACCCTCTGTCTGTGGAGAGCTGACACATGGCTCCTGGAAGGCTTAGAGCCAGGTTTGGAGTTGAGTCTGGGTGAGCCCCACCCAGGGGCTGAATAGGCTAATGTGGTCCTGAGAGGCCAATAAACAAACCAGGCTGCACCTGGAGGGGAACCAGGCTTAACTGATCCTGAGGAGCAGCTGGGCTGGAGCAGGCTGGTTTGTATAAAGAGAGGAGGTTTTTACAGTAGTATAGGCTTGTGTGGGTGTGAGTCTGGAGTCGCTTGCTGGGAAGAGTGGGGAGGGCTGCTGCTGGGGAAGCTCAAGGGGCTAAAGCAGCCCTGGGAATCTCACCTGGCTAAAGGAGGCTGGCAAGCAGCCACTGAGGGGAGCAGGCCCTGGGCATGTGCCATGAATGGAGAGCAGGATTTGGACTGCCAGGGGGTGCAGGCCCTGGGAGGTCTGTGAGGAGACTGAGTAAGGGGAGTTCAAGAGGCCTAAACAGGGCAAGCCAGAGAGCAGCTGTAGGAGGAAGCTGGGGGAAATGGTAGCAAGGAGGGGACTCTGCTGACTGGGGCTGCTGGTCATAGTGTCTCTGGGGTAGTGGGTGGGCCTGGGCTCCCCTGGCAGAAGGGGACAAAGACTTTGGGAAGCCCTGAGGCAAGGGTGGGAG